AGAGATATGGAGAGTTTTGCTTTGCACTGGACGCGTAATCAAATTAACAATCCTTTATGTATTGTCTATATTTGCCTAACAAAATGTCGATTTGAAATATGAAAAGCATCTAACATATGAAATAAATGGCTACCATGATATCCCGAGGTAAATGCATGCGAGAATACTTCGGTCTCTACCAAAACACTTAGCGATGATTGCACCGTCGAAGAAATCGATGAAGTCAACAGGTTTCCAGCAAATGGTAACTGGTTTACACATCAGCTTCTAGAGATCTATTCTAGATACTGGACCGTATCTGTGGCTGTGTTGAGTCTACAACCATTGGGCTGGTGAAAGAATATTTGCGGTTTATGCATTGACGAAATACGCCATGCCGAGTGGTTGTGTTGCTCGTCGCAGCGCTCGTGGAACGGAGCTCCACCTCCCAGCCTTCTCAGGCAGTCAACTACGAACGCCATGGAATAATAGCTTTCAGCAAATGTGTTATAAAATGGATTATTTCAACGCGCATTTCTCGCTTCATGTTTTGCTATTGACGTGTTATATACTGTTCATTCCACAAGTATTTTAGTCTATGGGAAATTTTTCGTTAGTGGAAAAGTAAAAGGGGATTCGGACAGTAGGTTGAAAATGGGTCATAGAGCTGCAGGGACATTTCGCAACATCAGCAACGCGTTTGATTCAAGATGCTAACGAACGTACACTACTGTACTGCGTCAAAAAGTTTCGCCGAGGAGACGCATTCCAATATCGCAAGAATAGCACCTACTTTTCTATTAACTTCATCAAAAGTTATGGAAGCAATAATCATCGAAGCTGATCCCCTCAACACTCCAAGAGTTGTTGTAGAAAAACTCAGCGTCAACCATTCTACAGTTGTCCTCTACTTGAATTAAATCGCCGAAGTAATAGAGGTTTCAGACCGTGCTAAAGCTCTTCTAAAAAGACAGTTCTTGAGATGATTTATAAACAAAGTTTTCGCATTCTGATTGAACACTTGCATGCTAAAGTTTGTCCGAGCAGTAAATTCAATGACTAATTTTGCTACACTGAGAGATGCCTTTAGATAACCCAATTTTAATGTTGAGATGCAGCTGCGGCCTACTAAACAGCAACAGTCTCTTGTCCATGAAAGAACTCCTTCATATGGGATAAAAAAAGGATAAAGCTCTCCGCGTTTATCAATCCCTGAGCAATGCGCCATGCATTCGTCTTCAATCTTTAACTTCACCTGAGGTGATTGAATGCATATCTGACCTTTACAGTGACTCGCGGTGGTGTCCCGTTAAACCGAGTCAGTGCTGCTTGTCTTCCTATACTGGTCTGAGGCGAGTCTGATCCTAATTTACCTACCCCGAAAGGGTGGATGCTTGGTGAGCCATGAGCGCGAGATTGAACCATTGACCTCGTGTGCGATGCAGAGCACCTCTGATCACTGCGCCGCATGCGCTCTCTCAAATTCTTTCATAGAACAGATATTTCTAAATTATCATACACAGAGAATAGTTTTCCAGCTCGATGTCCGCTGAAATGGCCAATGTGAGATAAGCAAGCGATTTTGCTAAAAACGTTCAGTAAAGAGCATTTAAGGCATAGTGAAGGTGCAAAAATTGAGTGTTACCAACTCACACTGGTTGAATTACAATTCGCGTATGGCTGAAAACCTACTCACTAAGTACTTTCAGCCCTAATGTTTCTACTACCTAATAAACTCTTATCGTCACTTCTCAGACTTACAAAAAACGTTGCTATCACCCATGTTTACGACGAGAGTTGATTGTAAAAACAAGTATAAAAACACATAGAGGTGTGAAAAAAGCCAGTGATTATCAAACTAGTCTATACAGAGTTAAAACTAGATAGAAATTTATTTAGAGCTAAGCAATCCAGCAAATTATTACAAGAGCGAATCGCAAGGTGTAAAACGGTATGAAAAATTTGACGACAGCCAACTGAACGATATTCTAGCGCTCGAATCGAACAATTATAGTGAACAATCTTACAAAAATGAAAAATCTATCTTAACTAAAACACTTTCTAACTTGTGAATAATCCTTGTATTGCTTAAAAATCCGACATATAGTGATTGGATGAGATAGTTTCAGCTTTTTTCTTCTGAAATTGCAAGCATATTCAATTTATCCATAAATTAAAACAGGTGGTTACGTCAACATGTCTCAACAAAGAAGTGAAAAGGATTAGAACAATGACCTACTCTTTGAAAGAACTCTTTGATATAAGTTCGAAAGGTACTGTGCTTTCGAAATTCTATGTAGAGAATGTTTCACTGTTCCGCACAGAAACTAGTAAACGCCATGGGTTAGCAAGCAATATTATATATGACCACTAGTAGAAAATAGCAAAGGACTTAAAACTAGCACAGCAAGATACAAAATATCTAGTAGGGTATGACTTTAAGATCGCGATCGTAGTATCCTCCATTGTGCTGCTTTTGTAATTTTGACATTGATTTCACCACTGAAGAGGCTGACTCCTCCACCTAGCAAAAATGCTACGACAAAATTCAGTGCTTATTCAAGCGAAAGTATATGTAGAAAGAGAGAGAGAGAGAGAGGAGAGAGAGAGAGAGAGAGAGAGAGAGAGAGAGAGAAAGATAGAGAGATAGAGGATCTGTCTTCTTACTGTGTTTAGGTCTTTCATAACCATATATACACCTATATCCTGTTGGGTTTTCACAGAAAACTAGTCAGTCTGCCCCGGCGAGACGAGAGAGCTTGTCCATCGGAGGTGACACCTTACTGCCTACAACACACTACCCAGTAACTCGAATGCAGGATTTGGTCAGTTTGACTCGTTGAAAAGAAGGTATGCAAATGGAACAGGTGCTGCAGAAACATGAAATCCATCCTCTTAATATACCTAGGTATCAGGGTAGTACACAGTCGGTTTTAAGTTGCGTTTAATTCACCGATCCACCATTGGTACGCCTCACATGCTGTCTTCGCGACTAATCGAAAATGTATATCTTTGCGAGGGAGTGCCTGGTGAAACAAAAGCAGTAGAAGCACTGGACACCCGGGGCGCCCCAGCTCAGTACAAAACACGTCCAACAAAATTAAACAACAAACATCAACTGATTGCTGCTTTAAAAGATGAACTGCCGTCAAGTGCTTTCGAATAGTAACCGAACTCGATGTTTCTCATACGACTGTGCTAACTTATTTCCGCCAGCTTAACTTTGTCCACAAGTAGTCACGACAAGATCCGCTCGTACGATCTAACCGATGAAGTTGAAGGAGCATGTCAAAAGTTTTTTAGTTCGGAATCGGAGGAATTGTACTTCGACCAGATCCGAATCTTGGCGAACAGTTGGCTGAGAGTCGAAGAAAACGATAAGCTCTATTTGGAAGAATAGTTATCATTGTTTTTGTTTGGATGTCATGCTATTGGATAAATTGTCAATTTTTTACGAGAGTCCGACACCTTCCATGGCAACATCCTTCTAGTTCAAGCTGTTAAATCAGCATCATGTCACAATTTTCAGAGATCCGAAGTTGAGTGTTTCAAATGCTATAACTCGCCTAGCTATTGGAATGTTCCCAGGACAGTTGATTTTGAAGTTAGTCAGCAGAATTGAGTATAAGAGCAAAAATTTGACCTCAGACGGGTGTTTAAACCGCGTTTCATTCATACATGGAACGATCTGAGGTCGACTTACCACTCAGTTATCCTGGATATCCTTGAAATATCATAGACTGCGGAAAAACAGTAGAAATATAAGAAATCTTGGAATGATTCTAAAGTTTTTTTTTTTTGAGAACAATGTCCAACTTTTCTTGGGGAGAGCCGCTTCTGAGCATTTCTCAACCAAGCATGTACTCAGTGAGAGACATCTTGTTCTTATAAAAGGCGAATTCATCCTTGCCGCAGCATATGCAATTGCTTACAATGTGGCATCGATGTTTTTCTCTCCGAAGTGAAGTGTATCTCCTTTTTCGTATCCATAATCCTACGGAAATTCTATCAGATATCGAGCTTCCGATCGTATTCAGCTTTTTTCAAGCTACCCAGTGGCTACAATGGGCCTCATGATCACTGAAGGGACGACGCTCAGACCACGCGGGGGATCGATTGAGCTGATCGGATCGATAGGCATGTTCCCCGTGACTCGGCGATCGGACAGCTCGAGGCCAACGTTCACAAATTAAATTTCGCGCCTAAACATATCACTCCCGAGTCAACTGGCAGAGTCTGCGAAATTCGCGACGCCCTTGGCTATCGGCCAATTATTCGCTGACTCGCAGACGCCGAGTGCTCCACTCGCCTGCTTTGCTCCAGATTCTGCCCGTTTGCCTGTTCATTTCCTTCAAATACTTTCCCTTTTTCTTCTCTCCTTTTCTGATTGAGCCATTCTCATGAAGTTCGCATAAAGCGGAGCTACTCGGCTACCGTTTCGTCGCGTTTCGGCGTCTTCACAGCCGACTGGTTCGAGTCGGTGTTCGACGCTTGTTCGTCCCCGTTGTGTGTGTTCTTCGCCCTTCGTTCTTCTTCAGTAGTCTTTTTGCTGTAAGCCAGAATTCATACTACGAAGTGATGAGCTACTAAAAATCGCTTTGTTAACTTACAATCATTGAAAAGATTGTCTTGTGAGTGATTTTCTTCGAGGAATCATCCGTGATCTCGCTGAGAAGAGAGAAACCTAATTTATTCCCTTACGACAATCTGTTCCACAACATGTGAAACGCATAGCACTGAAGCTTTTCGGGCATGATCAGATATCGTTTTTCTACCACAGAGGCCGTGAAGTCAATGGCGTTCGTTGCTTGTCGTGCCGCTTGCCTTTGACTTCTTCTGGTTGAACGGTGTTTGTATGGAATCTATTCCTCAAACACTTAAGAGTTGTACGAATGAAGAAAGCTTTTTCAGACGTGCTACCTTTTTGAATCATATTCTTCAAGCTTTTCCTCAATATAAAAGTCTCAAGTGGGTAGCCAGCTGCAGATGATCTAATAGAATCAAGTGGTGAGCAAATATTCGACCTCACGAGGGAGTTGATCCCTCGTTTCACCCATAAGGGGTAAGGGGGGAGGGGGGAGGGAGGCGTGCTACCACTACACTACAGAGGCACCGTTTCCCTACCGCGCATTCATTTCTCAATGTCTGTATCGAATTGGGTAAAACGCGGGTTCAACTCCCTCCTGAGGTCGAATTTTCTCTCAGTCCACTCAACTCTATTTGTATATCTAAAAAAGAGCGCACGTGGCTTCGACTTTTTCCTGATTGAATCATGTTTCTATAATGCCTCTTCCTCAACACCTAATCAATTGTATCAATGGAGGAAACTTATTTGAACCTTTTTGAATCATAATATTCGAGCTTTGAGGCGCCGTGGCCGAATGGTTGTGATGTTGGTCACGGCGCTCGTGCAGCCGAGTTCCATCCCGCACTTCTTTCCAGCAGTCAACAGCAACGTCCCATGGAACACCACAGCAAAGCTATCATCGACATTCCAAGGAGATTCGCTCGAGCAGTATTCTACGCCGTTGAAGAAGAAGACGAAGTAACGAAATGAATGCTAGAAGTACTGGGATTCACGCAGTGAAAAGAAAACACTGTGATGACGGATCAAATAAAGAGCTGAAGTGCTGAATTATTTAAGCTTTTCCCCATCATGAAAGTTTCAAGTGGGTAGCCAGCGGTTGTTCGTCCATTTGTGGTTTTCGCCTTCGTTCTTATTCTTTTTTCGTTGGAAGCCTATTGACATACATGTCTACTTTTCAGCCGTAAGGCCTTTTCCGAACACTGAGTCCATATTACATAATAATCAGCTACTAGAATGATCGCGTTGCGAATTTTGCATCACTAAAATGAGTTAACTCGTGATTATTTTTCTACAGAAAAACCAGTCTTTCCCCATGTTGTGAGCTTCGCCTTCGTTCTTCTTCACATTGCTTTTTGTTGTAGCTCATTGATGAAGTGCGTATGTGAATATCTCAAGCATAAACCTCTTTATCATTACCGAATTCAAACTACGTAGTAATGAGCTGATAGAAGGATTGCTCTGCATCCTCACAGTCATTGACTGAGTTGTACCTGTGAGTGATTTCCTTCGAGTAAACACCTCTGTATGCGAACGTCGTAGTTATATTCTTGCTCAAAGAAGGAAAATTGAGTATAATCGTTGCCATATTTCCCTTGATTGATTCCAGACTGGTCGCAAACTTGCCTGGGAGGATAAGCAGCCTGTCTTGGTTCAGCGGAAGGCCAGCGCGAGTTAGTGCAAAGATCAGATATGCATTCAATCACCTCAAACGAAGTTGAATATTGAAGACGAATGTATGGCGCATCTATCAGGAATTGATCAACGCCTAAAGCTTTATCCTTATCTGCTCCGCTCCACATTCTCCCATTTTGCATCTTCATCACTCTAAATACTTTTCTTTTTCCATTTTGCTTTGTTGATTGAGCCAATCTAATGGGATTCTTACAAAATAGGTCTGCTCGGCTAACGTTTTGACGTGTTTCTTCGTCTTCACAGTCGACTAATCCGAGTCGGTGCTCGACAGTCGACTGTCCCCCTTGTGGTCTTCGCCTTCGTTCTTCCTCACTTTTCTTTTTGTTTTAAGCTCAAAACTCATTTATAAATTGCCTGAGCTTTTATATATATACATATATATATATATATATATATATATATATATATATATATGCTCACCACTCACTTCTCTTCTTTATATTGAAAATTAGCCTTTTTTCTATTGCCGATTTATACTGTGTAAAGTAAGGTGATGAAAGAATTGCTTTGGAAACTCACAATCGCTGACTGAGTTTTACCTGTGAGTGGTTTACTTCGAGGTGACATCTCTGTATGCGAACATCTTAGTTACAATCTTGCTGAAGAAAAGAATATTGAGTATAATCGTTGCGATATTTTACTTGATTGGTACCGGGCTGGTCGTAGAATAGTCTAGATGGATAAGCACCGCCAATATTCTTTTCTTTTAATTTCCAGCCAGTGGGCAAATAACATGGCGGCAGTGATAAGATTGGACGTCGATGATCATGAAGGTTAGTAGCTTCAATATCTGTTCTAATGCTTGCACTATATCCGGCATTCAAAGGTTCTTAACTAAGATTAAAATAGATATTTTGACAGAGACGTGGAAACATTTTTAAGCTTCTTTTCAAGTGCGATAGCTTTTATTACTAAGTAGATCATTGCAGACGCGGATTACATCGCTATTGCTGCTTATACAACCATGTTCCATGAGGACACCGTATCCTTAGCATTGACGACGACGTGTGAAAGATCAGAGGGCTTTACTCCAAATTCGCAGCGGGTAATTTTTTTGCTTCGTGTTCACATTTTCATCTGGATTTAGAGTGCAGTACAATGTGTTTATTTTTAGACTATTTCGATATCATCAAGCAATTCTCCAGATAGCACCATTGATTCACTCTTGTGAGTGCTATCTTATCATTCTTCGGAATCTCAAACAGCTCTCATCTTAACGAATATCAGTTCTTTTCTGTTTTTTTTTCTTTATTCCATCAAAATTCCATCACCAGATAGTTGGTGTGACATTTTCGTGCAGAGAAGTCGAAAATCAGCAAGGTTCTTTTTTGCGGTGATTGAAAATTCTCCGCAGCTAGCCAGGAATTCTTCCTCGTCTGAACTCGTCCATCAGTGGATTTCTTTATTCCAAATTTCTACTAAGTTTCGATTCAAATCTGTAATCTCAGCCATCCAAGAAAACGTTTACGGACTTGAGTAATGTGTTTTTCTTCCTTCTTTCTTCGTAATACTTTCTTGATACTGTGTTTAGAAGATCTGGTTCTGGTGAGGATTCGATTGCGTCGTGGAGTTCCTATGGTCGAGAAAATGAGGAGGTAAGAAATCTAGTGATTTTCTACAACTGATTTCTGAGCAATCAGAAAAGCTCTTGTTTCCAAATGAATCAACGTAGGATGAGGGGAGTTTGTTCTTGAGACTTAGAATTTTCGCAGAAATAAGCCTTTTTTTGAACCACAAAGTTTGTTTTAATTTGTAGCTAATCGATTGACCATTTCTTCAACCCTTTATCTGCCAAGGAATCAAAACTCCTTGGAGATTAGAAGGAATCGTGCACGCTTTCTGTCACGCACAACGTCACTAAGGATACATAACTAGGGATACGTAGTCTAACTAATAGCTCAAAGCATACTATTTCTCAATTGAAAGACTGAATAGTAATTTTTCACTGCACTAACGAGATTGTGAACTATCAGGAGTTAGATACGCAAACAATTTTAGTCTCTTAGATCTTCAAGGAATTCTGGTTCCTCGGAAGTCGAAGGTTAAAAACTCTGTACTTCCAAAATTGGACTTTACTCATATACCAAACGATTCCATCACACATTTTATCAATGAAGAAGCTAAATTCACTACTTTAGATAAGTGTTTTTACCCTAGGTGGGCATTCATTTCCAGCTGTGGTAAGACATCGCAAACTAATCCTTTAATTCTTTCATGACCAATCGAGCATAGTGCGTAGATTGTCATCGCACTGAAATTAGTTAAGATGCAGTGATTAGTTACTGATTTTGTCACATATTATTCTCTTGAGAACGCCTCTATCCCTCTGCTGAAAGCTCATTTGGCATTGCTGATTCAATTTCTTTCATGATTTATGGATAATTGTCATAGTGGAGATATCCTTAATTTTTGATTCTGCTGTATATCTTAATTTCCCCAGTGCTGTTTTGCACACGTGGATTACCAAGTGGGAACTGGTGACAAATTTCGAATGATTTAATTTGTTCCGAATCGTTCTTTCAAACAGCCGAGCCTATAGTAGGGATTTAACCGTCCTTACAGCTTCGTCTGCCATGGAGTGGGCTGACACATTGTGTGTAAGAATAAGGCACACTTGGTCTTAGTGATGCCAAGAGGTCTCAGCTCGTAATGAGCTTTGTTTGTTGAAATAAAATTATTCGAGCCTTACAGAGCACTGCCGCCCTTTTATCCTAACAAGATGAAAGCCTGTTTCCTAGTATGCGAAACATTTGATTTTCCTCTTTTCTTTGCGATAGCACGCTCGTACTTCAAAAATTAAAGTAATGAGTGAAATTACATCTCCAGTTAGCCACGGCTGTGTTTCATCGAATATTTTGTCATCGCTTCAGAGTGCGATTTTCAAGATCACGTGCCTCTTCCAATTCTCAAGACTTTCATTTTTAAACGTCTATGGATTTGAGATGATTTATCGCATAAATAAGTAATTAATATATATATATATATATATATATCTATATGTACCTCAGACAAAGTTAAACGTTGAAGACACATGCTTGGTGCATCCTTCAAGGATTGATCAACGCCGAGAGCTGTATCCTTTCTTCTCTACATGTCTGTTTACTTGGATTTTTGGACGGTCCGTCTTCATTAGTAGTGCATAATCAGGAACAGTTCCCATTCGTTTCTCTCTCGCGCACTTGTCGTTCATGGCGATGGTCTATTCCGAGCATAGTGACGTACGCGAAGCTCATTTCGTGATTCTGAACTCATTACCATCTGCGCATGCACATGAATGACGTTGGCAACGAAAGATGCCCGCCCCTTGTCAAGGTGCTTTTCCAAGAGGACGTTAGCAATCTCCTGAGGTCGAGCTCCGCTATTTTTCGCCCATCTATTATCTGTTCCTTTCAGTATGTAATCGGTCATCTGTGTTTTGTTGCCCACGTAATTATTCTTGATCATGAAGATGAGATAATTCTCGAAGAACTGAGCTGCGCAAGCCAGCGAGACCTTGTGATCTCCAATGAAATTTAGAAGACTTCGCTCAAACGCCCTGTGAGTTTTGCACAGATTTCTTGACGTGGTCTTAGTACCAGATCACGTCTCTGCTTCGTAACATACCGCTGGAAGGACTATTGAATAGAAATTTGAACACGGTTTCTGTGTTCAGTCGTCTGGTCGATGGCTTCTTTGCGAGGTCCTCATGCGACCCCATTCTGCTCTCCTTCTTCTGTCTAGTATCTCCTTCATGTTAATTACAATGTCGAAAGAGCGAGAAAGGTACACGTACAGCACTCTTCGTAATCATAGAGCCATCCGACTTCATTTGTTTCCTTTACGCCATGAAAT